CCATCACCATAAGCCGTAATTTATTTTAAACCAACATAGCTAGGTTCACACTCATGCTCAGCCAAAACCAAACAAAACGCATCATGGCTTAGTGCAATGGGACACACACAGAGAGGCACACCAATGTGTGCGTGCATGCACTCACAAACATACACAAACACCACACACACATATACCTCCTTACAATCGGTAAGATTTGCAACAGGCCTGGAAAATAGGTTCCCAAACTGCAATTAACAGAATCAAACTGTATCCAGTAAATTCAAGCTAAGGGGGAGAATTTCTAATCATCCGTCATGAGGACTTGCCTGCTTTATATGGCGGATTAAGGATCTTGAAAAGGAGCACTAAGCTCAGCAAAGTGCACCAAAGTTGATCAAAGAATGCCTCCGTTGAAAGCCAAACGGTTACAATACTTTAAAAAAAAAAGTAGCAAAACTAAATAAATTCTCCCAGTATCATTTGGGATCCATAGGTGAGAAAAAGGTATAGAAAGAGCGTGAGACTATCTTGAAGCATCGAATTAGATGTGCAAGTGTATGAAATGTTAATCAGTTAATTGATCTGCCCAATGCCAGATCCTCGGTTTTGTTTAACGAGCTGACAGTTGTATTTATAACTGTGAAACAGAGGTGAGAGGGAGGGACTGATTGAATGGAAGCATGGGTAAGGAGAATGGAAGGAATAGGAGAGTGAAACCAGCTGGTAGAACAATTCTCCCACCTTGGCACCGACTTTTATGAGAGCTGTGCCTGTCTCGGACAGCATCCAAGGCCCCAGCCTTTATAAGTAGCTGCTGAGCAATTAAGAATGTCCCATTTTCCCTCCGAGGCCAGCACCTCAAAACCTTTGGTTCTGGAAGAGCTGCAATTGAATCATTTCTCTGAGTCTGGGGTCCTCCCAATTTCCCAGGGAGAGAAGCAATTCCTTACCGGATGGGCTATAAGCCATACCCCAATGAGAGCATCCATGAAACATGGCCGGATGACAAAACCTTGAAGTAAAGTACAATTAAAAATAATAATACAGCGAAAGACGCCCTTTTTCTAACGGCTCACAAACCGTGAGAACAAGATGGATTTTATTCAGCCACCTTTGAAATGCACCCAGCTTCTCCCAGCTCGGTGAGTGTATTCACACGACACACTTCTATGTCATTAATCGTGGTTTCTCAAGCCAATTTTTGCACAACCCGCTGAACTATAAATGGATTTCACAGCTTGGGTGGTGCTCCACTGCAATTGGCATTTGGCAGTGTTTGCACAACACAATTGAGCTGTGGCATTAGGGTCCTGCGAAAATTTCCCACCAAGTGATGAGGAATCTTAAAAGAGTATTCTGAGGAGCTGCAATGTCCTTGCTTTCAGAAATTGAAGTCTTTCTCTCTTGGCGGTGCAAACGACTGAAATGAGGAAGAAAGCACAGCTTAGTAGCCCAGCAAGCCCTTGTAGAGTGAAGGGTGCTAGGTTTCACCTCGTTTAAGAGTTTAGGTACCAGTCAATGCAAGAATCGGTGTCTACTTCACAGATCACCCAAACCATGGTTTGCTTGGCATTCACACAACTTAAGTCAACCATTAGCCATGGTTTACAACATCACAAAGGCTCGATTCAGATAACATGTCGAGTCACAATATGGTCCCTTGGATTTGGCGGAAGGACACTGTGTAGACTCAGCTAGGAGATGCTTTGGTTTCTGGGGATTTTTCAGGTCCAGATCAAAGCACTCTGCAATTTTTAAGCCCTGAATTGTCTTCAGAGAAGGGTTTAATCCTCTGGAGATCTTCAGGCCATCTGGCAGAGATGCTAGAAAAGGATTTTTCAGAGATGTTATTAGGTTACATTTGGAAAGAAGACAGGCCCTTGCTTATGAAAAGGAATACTTAAAGATAAACAGAAGGGGGAATTGGGGAAATTCAATATTTTGACCCCTGGGAAAGTAAAAGGGATTAATAGAGATAGCTGGGTGGAGCTTATTGGTTCCCATAGCATTCTCCTAAAGTCCTCTCAACCGTGATTTTGTTTGGATTGTTCTTGAAATAAACAATTTGCTATTACCTCTGAGTATCTATCAGTGCTTACCTTGCTACAAAGTTCCTCCACTGCATAAATATCTATCCTCAGCATCTTTCAGCACAGCAGAACTGCCTCACTTCCACCCTGCACCACCCAAAAACCTCTGGAAATAATTCTGAAGAAGATGCTTCTACTGTACTCTTGTTGTTGTTAGTTGCAAAGTCATGTCCGACCCATCGCGATCCCATGGACGACGTTCCTCTTGGCCTTCCTGTCCTCTACCATCTTCTGGAGTCATTTAAGCTCACGCCTCCTGCTTCCGGGACTCCATCCAGCCACCTCATTCTCTGTCGTCCCCTTCTTCTATTGCCCTCAATCTTTCCCAGCATTAGGCTATTCTCCAGTGAGTCCTTCCTTCTCATTAGGTGGCCAAAGTACTTGAGTTTCAGCTTCAGGATCTGGCCTTCTAAAGAGCAGTCAGGGTTGATCTCCTCTAGGACAGACCGGTTTGATCGCCTTGCAGTCCAGGGGACTCGTGGGAGTCTTCTCCAGCACCAGAGTTCAAAGGCCTCAATTCTTACACATTCTATATTCCCCAGACAAGGACAATTCAATCCCTCAATTCTTACTTTTGAACTACATCTGCCCCACTCTTTGCTACTTCTTGTACATTTTTGTGTTGTGTACTGTCTTGGTTGCTTTGAAGACTCAAGGGTTCGATTGTCCTAGTTTAAAAAATGAATATAGAAAAAAGAGAATTGCCCTACAATAAATTGTCAGAATTTATTGTGTGGGAAGAGGACAAGGTCTGCTGCCTTTTGCTGCCATACTCAGGGAAATTATTGAATTTGGAGCACTGTAGTTCACACAAACTTCTTCTGCTCAACAGAAGAATCTTAGCTACATGGGATCAGTGACCAATGGCTGGTCAAGTCCTGCTTAAATGCCTCCATCAAAGGGAAGACCACTCCCTTTTGATGCTTTTATTCTCATAACACGTTGCACACCAACATATTGACCATATTGTGGTTTAATTTAATACAGCCCTGGTGGTGCAGTGGTTAGAACCCAGTATTGCAGGCGAATTCTGCCGACTGCCAGCAGTTCGATCCCGACTGGCTCAAGGTTGACTCAGCCTTCCATCTTTCCAAGGTTGGTAAAACGAGGACCCAGATTGTGGAGGGCAAGATGCTGACTCTGTAAATCACTCACAGAGGGTTGTGAAGTGTTATATAAGCTGAAGTGCTATTGCTATTAATTTGATAGCTTAGTCCACACAGGGATAGAAGAGTGAGTAGTCATACTGGAGACACCTTCAGTATAAACGTGGGTCGTGATAATGGCTGGGTTATTCCAGTGTTATGGCATTTTTATCGACAGCGTCTGATGTGGTTTTATTGATTTGGTTGTCATGAAATGATTCAACATTGCTTAAAGTGTACATTGCTTAAAGTGTACAATGGACGCAGTTTAAAAGCTCTGGGTGGATGGAAGGTCAAGGTGGGCTCAGAAAGCAACCAGATCAGAACGTGTAGACATGTGACACAACTGCACCTCAACAACAGGAAAGACGCCCAAGGATTCAATTTGTCCTCCAATTTGACAATTTTATCGTGGTTGTTAAGCAAATTGCCACGGTTCATAAGTGAACCACATGGTTGTTCAGCAAATTCGGCTTCCCTATTGAGCTTGTCAGAAACTGGATAGGAAAGTCACAAATAGCTATCACATGATGCCAGGATGCTGCAGCCATCATAAATACATGCGCGTTGCCAAGAGCCCAATGGTCTCCAGCCTCATCTCTTCTCTACCTTACTCCCCTGAAGTCTCTTCCTTTCAATAAATTGAAACAGTCCTCAGAAAATAAGAGTTCACGTTCTTACACAAGTGGCATAGCCCTAAACTCGAAGTATCAACTTCATCCAGCAGCCCATCAAAATTGGGACTTGCAGTCTGATCCTGGCATTCTAAGATCCATGTTTGAGAACCTAATGAAAACTCACAATTCCTTTTCCTTGTTCGCTGCTTAGCCAAAGTTCAGCAAAGGCAAAAAAAGAGACAGAGAGAGATCAACAGCGAAATCCACTTTGAGCCAATTTCAGTCTTCGGAATCAGCTCCCTATGGCAAATCAAGAAACTTTTAGCTATTTTCCACTGTCAAAATTTCAGGAGAATCCTTGCTTTAAGCGACCAATGGCAGGAAACCTTCTGATGACAAAGAAACACCCATCACAGTTTTTTTGGAAAAATCAAAAGCCATCAAGAGAGGCTGCGCCACACCTATGGCCAGGGCTGAATTAGGGGAAAGTTTGAGTTTTATTGTTGTTCGCACAGGTTTGTACGTTGGCGGTTGATTGCATGGTCCACCAGATGTTCAGACTGGATTTGGCACTTTTTATTCACCTATCGAGTCCTTCCCAAGGATCTGGGATAGGCAGGTGTTGTTTGATGGCGCTAAAGGTATGACTGAAGGATTAAATTGAATGCCATACCATGTAAGGTGATAAGAGCATAGACTCATAGAAATACTGCAAGATCAGAAGATGTGGCAAGACCTGGCCCACAGAGTCGTCAAGAGTCGGATGTGATTGAATGGGTAACATCATCATCATCATCACTATATGCCACCCAACTTTCAACAAAGCTGAGCTTTCAAAACATGGATGTGCCAAACTGGTGAAGTAGCCATTTCCATCTGCTTCTTGCCTCGATATGGGGAGAAACTAGGCGGTCAGTTTTCTCCAGGTTGAGCCTGACAGAACACCGAAAGGGACTGGGGCTGTCCATCATTTAGTTTGGACTTCTAGAGATACCCATTTGGACAAAAGTTTCAAAGGCTTTCTCTGAGTCTCCCCAAAGCATCTAGGAAAGATGCCTTTTCATTTGTTCCACCCCAGCTCCTTCACCCTCCCATCCACTGGTTCTCTTTTTTTAAAGCTCTTTTTAAGTTCTTTCTGAGTTCCATACATGGAAAAAGACATTAGAAAGCGGAGTTCTTGTTTTAATATTGCCCGTCCTTCTTTAACACTGCATCCCGTCGGGAAGTCACAGCCGTCATCAGAATTGCTTACAACTTTGGATTCCTTCGCTCTGGGTTAATTACTTCCAGAATGCACATCCTCAGTTCTCCCCACTCTACCTCAAAGCCAGACACCGACGACAGAAAGACATATGTCCCAACCCACCCCTCCCTCAGCCCTGCCAAAAGAACGGTCCACATTTATTTGCATTTTTTTTTCTTAGAAAAATAATGTTTTTCTTCCCCTCCAGAAAATTCTATTTCTTTTTAGCGTCTCTGCCAAGCATGAAGTTGACATGACGGTGTAGAATTCTTGATGGGAACTGTGGCAAGGGTAGAGGGGAGGAAGAAAAACACTTCGGTTCTTTCCGTCTGCAAAATGCGTGAGTACTTGGGAAAAGGAAGAAGTCAAGTGGCTTCAGGGAGGCTAAAGAAGACAAAACAGCAGGATCCGTGTGAGTGAAAAATTTCATTCTCGTGGCTAAAAAGAAAAAAAAAGAAATAAAAGCTTCCAGTCCCCATGGTGGCAAAGTTAAATATAAACACAGGTGGGAATTGGCTGGAGCTGAGAAAATGGTGCTGTATGTTCTTCAGAAGGATTGGCAAAGATGACTTATTCTCCTAGAGTAGGGAAAAAAATACTGAATATATAAAACTGGGTGCATCTATTTAATTTTGAAAAGCGAGGTGGCAAAACTACCTGTTCCATAAAATGCCCATCAGCTGTCTAAAAACAGAACCCTGGGAACTGTAATTTCTAGTGGAAGGGAGGACCTCTGCTAGAGAGCTCAAAGTTGCCCCAAATTATAGTTCTGAGGGTGCCTTAGAGAGGAGAAATGACTGCTAAACCCACTTAAATCTACAAGGGATGATCGTGCTCCAGGAGACCCCAAAACTTGGCAGGACCTGAAAAACAGAAAGTCTTGCCACAGAAAAAAGATCCTTAAAGTGCAGTGTTGGGAACTCACTGTGGAAGCCTCACCATGATCATACAGACCAGGCAGCTATGCTTCAAAGAGCCAGCCCCATAATTTGAGAAAGCAAGAAGGGGGCAGAAAAAGACCAGGTAGGACATACTGAAGTTCCTTCTTTCTGATCTCTCCTGATAAACCATCTCTAAAAGTTTGGCAATGCCCAACCTGTGAAAGATGAGGCATTCTTACAAACGGTGCAAAAATAAAAGATGGAGGAGATGATGCTGGAACTGTAAGCCTCACCAGGATCTCGGGGGGGGGGGGGGAAGAGGGGGAAAGCATCCTTGGGGAGATGTGGAGCAGTCTGATTCTTGACACTATCCCTCCTTCGGTCAATCGCCTACTCATCGCACCCCAGAAGTTCCACTCGCAATGTGATGCGGTTGTGCCAAGCCTCAGGTAAGATGCGGACAAAGCGGGCGTGAAATGGCACATCAAACATGTTCTTCTTGTGAGAATTGTTGTCGTGGTTGCCTTGGAATAGCTACGTGGAGAAGGGAAGGAGGAGAAAAGAAGAGGTTAATTTTGAAGAAGTTAGCAAAGATCTGAAATTCTCACCACCCTTGTTCACTCAACAACATTGGCAAGAAAAAAAAAAAGCAAAACTTGCTTAATGTAACTGTCCTGCTTAGCAACAGAAATTGGGGGAGAGAGACCTTGCGGACCAATTTAAGAAGTAAAACAATAAGTAATTATTGTGGTCACAAGTTGAGGACCTGTATAGGCGGATTGAGACAACTAACTTAAATTCGTCTGGGAAAAATTTTTTTTAAAAAAAACCAAGTTCGAAACACATTTCTGCTGCATTTTACTTGTTATTTTGATGCCTCATATATATTCATAGACAGACTCCAGATATTTTTAGCAAGGGAAACCACAGGCAAATAAGAGGCTGACACCAGTTAAAAAAAAAAAAAGGAAATGTTAATAAAAGTCAAGTCTCTTCAAATTATATTTAACTCCAAATGACTCTGTTGCTTTCTTGGGAACACTGTAGAAATAATTCGTTATTAGCTTCTTTCAGAATGTTTTTAAAACTCCCCCATCCAGTCTACAGCCCTTGGATTTCCTGATAGTCTACTTTCCTAATACTAAGCAGATCTGACCCTGTTTAGCTATTTTGAGATGAAGTGCTGCCACCTGGTGTGACCATAAAAACACTGGCACTTTGATGCTAGAAGGGAAGAACACAGCCTTGGAGATAACTATGCGGATGCTCAGTCATCCAGGTCGTGGTTGTCCCAAAGGTGCTTTTTCAAAAAGCAACTGGGCTTTCTTTGTTTTTCCTTGAAGATGTTTCGCTTCTCATCCAGGAAGCTTCTTCAGTTCTGAACTGTCAGAACTGAAGAAGCTTCTTGGATGAGAAGCGAAATGTCTTCAAGGAAAAACAACAAAAAAGTCCAGTTGCCTTTTGAAATAACATCTTTGGGACATCCTTGGAGAATTACGTTTTGTCATTTATTTTTATTTTTATTTTCCACAAGGAAAACGTACAAGTTAACCAAGCCTAGACAGAAGAAAAATTCCAAAATCACGTAGTACGCCATAATTGAGAAGTCATAAAAACTTTTCATCAAACAAGACAGGAAAAAAGAAAAGAAAAATGATATAAAAGAAGGGACTTGATAGCATATCTAAGAGGGAGTGGGGAATTAGAAGATTGCACTTCTCTGTTGAGAAGAAGGCTGGAAGTCATATTTCCTAACTGTAGTTCCCTGCCTTCCTTCCTCCCTCCCTTCCTCTCTCCCTTTCACAGGGGAATAAAATTTTGGAGAAACTAGAAGATACATTTCAGCACAGCATTGACAGAACAGTCTTAGAAGTACTCCATGACATATAGGAAATGTGCTATGGGAAAAAAATTGGAATAGGGATGGATGAATAATATGCTTGTGTTGCTGTAGCTTTGACTAGACATTAGTTGTTTTCATTTCTTTATATATGCTAGGACGGATGGATGGATGGATGGATGTTAAAACCTGGGCACTACTGTTGAGAATCACTTGAGGTGGACTACAAATCTTCTAAATTAATAAAACTGAAGGAAAGCTGGGGGAAACATTACACTAACAAAGAGATAGTCTGCAACCGCATAACATTACCCCACAATTATTCTGGAAAGGCCCAACGGCATGATGCTAATGTTTTTCAGTCCAAGACAGACCCTGCATTGACTCTCAATCGCACAAAACTTTTTTGCCCAATTCTACCTTGATGCTGTTTGAGTTATCGTCGTGGTAGACAGTCCAGGATTTCCCATCATTGCTGTAGGCCACTTTGTAGGCTGCTACGTACTGAATGTGCCCAAAATCTCGTGCTCCCTGTGTTATGATCCCAGACACTTTTTTCACTTTCAGAAGATCAATCTGTAGAAAGAAAACACAATCTTTGCACTGGTGGAAGTAAAAGCTCCCCTCTGGGAGGAGGTTTTAAATACTTATAGCACAACTACTAGATTCTGTAACAGCTTTGTTCCTTATGCCATCTGTCTTATAAATTCACAGGATTCTTTTTTTTGCCATATACCGTAAATGCCGGCGTATAAGGCGACTTCCGCAAGCGTTAAAATCGGCGCCAAAGACGGGGGTCGTCTTATACGCCGAGTCGTCTTATACGCCGGAAATACTGGTAGTTTCCGGCGTATAAGACGACGTTCTAGGAATGCGACTCGGCGACAAAGACGGGAGTCGTCTTATACGCCGGGTCGCCTTGTACGCCGGTATATACGGTATATGAATACGTTCGAACTAGACAGTGATGTTTCTCTGTATCGTATATGTGTGTGTGTGATGTGTGGCTTTATGCATAACGGTATTTCTTTTGAGAGCTGACTGCAACAAAATTTCATTTTAATGTATGCTGATTAGCGTACATTTAAAGGGACAATAAAAGTTTTTATTCCATTCTATTCTCTTGATCCAATCAAATCAGTCTTCTTTACAGCCGTAGATAAATATCATTGGATGGAGTAGACCAAGCTTGCATCGTTTGCTTCTTTTCCTTTTGTGCTAAGGTTTTAAGGCTTTGCAAACTCAATATTCTTTGAAATGAAAAGAAGTCCTGAAAAAAACTTCAGAATGATAATTGGAAACCCGCTGAGAAGGACGCGCTTTTATTCAACAATTCTGTGAATGAATAGAATCGATTTGGACCAAGATTTGAGGTTGGAAGGACAAGGGAAGTGTTTTAAATCTATCATGGAACTGCCAAATGTAAACGGCGCTGTTCATCCTCCAAGATCAAAAATCGTTATTTTAAGTCTCAGTTAAAACATACCAGTTGAAGCAAACTGGCATGTCCTTATCCTGTTTTTCTCACTACATTTGCAATCCTCTCCTTCCTAAGATATTAGATTTGCTTCATTGCCTCTGCACACAAGGTAGGAATCCAGCATATTCATTTTTTTTAAAGCAATACTAGCCAGTAGGATGAGAGACAAGCTACTCACAAATAGAGAAACACACCATTGAATTTTTTTTGAGGAAGACTGAAGAAATGTTTTTGTTTAGCAAGAGCTGTACACATATTGAAAAATGGGCCAGATCCCAAACTGACCGAGTAAAACATTCTGGTTTCTAGCAAGCTAATTTTTTTTTTCTAAGTGGAAAAATAACCTCACTGTTATTTTTTTAAATAGTACAGGTAGTCCAGTACTTACAGCTAGCTGCCTAGCAAGTTTTAAGTTAGTAAGACAGTTGTTACTAAGTTGTTAAGTGAATCTGACTTCCCCGTTGACTTTGCTTGTTAGAAACTCACAAAAGGGGATCACGTGACCCCGGGACACTGCAACCGTCATAAATACAAGTCAATTTCCCAGCGTCTGTATTTTGATCACGTGACCACGGCGATGCTACACAGTCACGTGAAAAATGATCATAACTCACTTTTTTTCAGTGCTGTTGTAACAGAATGGTTACTAAATGAATGGTGGTGAGTCAAGTACATTCTTTTTTCTATTATAAATTAGGCAAGGAAGCTGGACGATTACAGTTAAGGACCACCTTATTCAGCCCTACCCCACAGATTCCAATTAAAACCATTTCTTCTTCTTCTTCCACTAGCTTTGATCCTCTCTGGCAAGGACATACCTGAAGCCACTCGCCTGGCTTATTCCTGAGGGCAGTCCAGGCATTGGATTTCCCAGTGTTATCAAGGCGGGCATAGTAAGGGTGCCAAGTCATGCTACTTAAGCCCCAGGTCTTGTACACGCTGGAGGCTGTGATCTGCCGGTCAGAGATGTGATGGGACTTCACGCCCAGAGGATCGGAGCAACCTGCCGTGTTGAAATACACTGTAACACAACGATTTATAGACGTAGTGAAAGGCAAGAGTTCATAAGCAAGAAGACTCTCCCAAAGAGGGTGCTTTCAAGAAGAACCTTCTCCCAAAAGTCCCCCAAGAGGAAGATCAATTTTTAAAGCAACAGAAGACATCCAGATAGCAAGCACCACCAGACGGTATCCTGGTGATCGCTGATGCAGATAAGAGCGTTTAGACTTATATACCGCTTCACAGTGCTTTACATCCCTCTCTAAGCGGTTTACAGAGTCAACGTCTTGCCCCCAACAACCTGGGTCCTCATTTTATGGACCTGGGAAGGATGGAAGGCTGAGTCAACCTTGAGCCGGTGAGACTCGAACTGTCGAACTGCAGGCAGCTGACATTCAGCAGAAGTAGCCTGCAGTACTGCCATCTAACCACTGCCCCAGCACGGCTCTTGATTAGCATTTATACAGTAACAACCTGCCAGAATTCTACACTCCAGATTAAGGATATACATTTAGCTAGTTTTGCATCAACAGTCACTGACACTGAAATGGAAAAGTATTTAATTTTTGCATTTTTCAAGCCCATCTCCAAACTATAAGATTAGTTAGTATTTGAAAGGCACAATCCACTGAATGTGGCCACACACCTCGTCAGTTTAAAAAAGATGGGAACTGGGAAAATGCTGGCACAAAAAGTCACACTTCCACGAATATATAGAAATGCAGAGTATTTTTACAAAAATAGTATTAAGCAAAACTGCAAGGAATAGTGACTAGATTTGCACCACAGAGGACTGTATTTTGGTGCAAATTTTAAAAAATGAAATCAGCTTGACAGATTTACAATACTCGGCCATTTGTAGAACAGACGTTTTGCCTTCCATTTGTCATTCTTCTGTATTTTCCTGCCAGTTTCATTTTTTTTCCTTTCTATTAAGGGCATGCAAATGTTTCATTTCAAGCCATTTTATTTATTGGTATTTAAAACAATTCATATAACCACCCATCTTATAACCAACTCTGGCCCGCTTCCAATCAAAACAGCAGAAAAGTCTCACGTGTAAAATGACCTGTCTTGGGCACTTGGGAATGGACTTGAGGCAGGATATATTAAAAAAAATAAGGTTTGAAATGAAGTCTTCTGAACATCTCTACTTTCTACCTAGAAATCTATTAAGGACAAAGAGATGGGACCAAGACAACTTCATGATGCTTTAAGATGCTTAGAGATTGTCCATCTGAAAGCAGTTAATGAGAAAGAGGTCCAGGCCCCCATAAGTTGGAATATGGAGACCTCACAGTTAGCAAGAAAGATTCCCAGCACTATAAGTCAAGTTCACTGAAGCCTAGTGTAAGTCAGTCATGCTGGCAAGTCTCATCCTTCAGCTGAAGGTACCTATTTTAAATGATGAGCAATGCCAAATACAGACCTGCCCCCTAAAGAAAATACTTAGATGGTCCAGCAGCATCCCTCTTTGCATCAGCATGTCACCATCTACTTAAAAGAGTCAAGACTGTCCATCATTCTAGCCTTCCTCATTTTTTGCAGCAGAGCCCTAGAATTATGCAAAAAGGCTGACCAAGCTCATCTATATCATTCATACAGCTTGCAAAATTCCGGCTTTCCTGAAGGATAATTTAAACCACCCAGGCACCGTTTTAATTTTTTTGCAATACACCATGCTGGCAAATTGTTCCAAGTGCTCAGAATGACAGGCCTAATTTTCAAGGGCTATTGGAAAATAGAGGACCTCCAAAATGAAGTTTTGGATTCCAGAGAATCTCTTTAGGGTTTTACATGATCTTCTGTCAGCACTTTTGCTTTCCTTTACTCAATCCCCAGTTAAGAAAAAGGATGTTGTATATGAAGGCACCAGAGATCTGTTGTCCAATTATCCATGCAAGAGCATGCACCTCCACCCAAATTCATTAGACCAATGGGAAGCATTTACCATTCATTTCACAGCCAATCAGTTCAAACCGCAGAGTGTAGCCACCCTCGTACGTTACTGGGTGGATTCGGAAATACTGGGCAATGACTGGAGAATTAAACATGTTGGTCACTGCAGTATATTTGTCTGTATTGCCTGAGAAAATCTGCAGGAAGGAAAATATAAAATGAAGAGCATCTTAAGAGTAGGAATGTGAACCCCTTTCCAGTGCTACACAGTCCTGGAGACACTGCTTTTCCATACATACTTGTACAATAGCATAACAGCTAGATTATGGGGCTTTGGTCACAGATATGAGAATGCAAATCCCTTTTTGGATACATGGATAATTTGTCCTGAACCACTTCTACTTTTAAGTCAACTTTCATGAGTAAATATGACAGGAACACAGGTTGACCTACATAGATGCATTCTGTGGTGGGATTCAAACATGTGAACAACCAGTTCTCTGTGTGGATGTCGCTTCCGGAAGTCCATTCTGGCCCTGGGCAACAAAAAATTAGCTACCGGTTCTGCCGAAGTGGTGCGAACCAGCTGAATCCCACCACTGGATGCAGATTAATCTAAGTTCCCAAAGCCCAGTTGGACTCAAATAAGCCATGGAAGCTATTATCTATAATTAATTCACTGTTAATTATAATATATCAAAAAAAATTTGAGGGAGTGGGGTAAGAAAAGAGCTAAACCAAGAACCTGTATCATACAGACTAACAAGATTGAGCAGATCCATATTTTGAAACATCTACGAGTGCTTTTTGATAACAAGGATTCTTGGAAGGACATCATAGTGACATTTTCTAGACAGCACTATGATCTCTGCTGGAATCAAGCTTTTTTTTTCTCACCAAAGGGGAGAGCTAGTTCCTCCTACTCCATCTAGCTTTTCAAAGCTAAAACAAACTCAGAAGTGGGCATCTATGCCATAAAAACACAATATAAATGCTGCAACCAAAGTTCTTGGGAGCAATTTTGACCATTCCAAAGATGTGTATGGAATCCATTACTATCTTCAGTCTTGAGGTAGGATGCCCCAAACTGACATATTGGTTTGGTGCCTGATGACTATCTAATGCAGGGCTTTTCAAACTTGGCCCTTTTATGACTTGTGGACTTCAACTTCCAGAATTCCTCAACCAGCGTGCCTGGCTGAGGAATTCTGGGAGTTGAACTCCACAAGTCATAAAAGGGCCAAGTTTGAAGAGCCCTGATCTAATAGTTCAACATCTCATTTTTCCCAACCAGACTCTTATTACACCTTGTATTGATAGAGAAAAGTTAAATCAAGTTGGAGTGATCTTACAGAATCCGAGCTAGCTTTCTATGGTCTTTCAGTTGAGTACTCTTTACTTTGGATTACAGTATCACACACCTATTCCTTCAGAGCATGAAGGATATAAATTGCAGATCAGTTGGATCCCACAGAATGGCAAAACCTGGATTCCAAGATGACCTGTGTACTCACCAAATATCTAACATCTCTCCCTTTCCTTGTATTGAAAAGGATTTGTTTGGACACACTATAACATCTTGCTGCCCATTTTCTTGGACAACTTATAATTAATATCTTCTTTATTTAAACAAATTTGTCCATCCAGTTCAAGAGAAATCAAAACCATCATTCCCCTACTGTTGTGCTAGATAACATTTACAGGAATATAAGGCACCCATTCATTTTGCATGTCTTGCAACAACATTCTAGATGGACAAATCTTTGGTGTACAAAGTATTTGCCTTCTAATACTAATGACAACCCTGTAGGCAAATTTCCTGTGGCAGAAGTTAAGACACATCAAGTACTAATATCCCCGATTGTTCTATATTTATTTGTTTTTATAAGCTTTTATATCTTATTGTGCACGGATCACTGAGCAAAATAAAGATTGCATTGTACTAAGGTAAGCTACATGCGTAGGATAATACAATCCAACAATGAACAGTATTATATATTATTGCTAAAATAAATAAAAATAATCCTTATAATTGATGAACTAAAGAACATAAAGTTTTTCAACTGATTAATGTAGAGAAACAAAAGACTGTAACTGACAAGTAATCTTTCTTTTAATGACCCTGTAATCCCTTGCATCGGGGCGGCTGAATGGAGTTGAGTGTTTACTGGCTGGATGCCCTTCCTGATGCCTACAAGGAGTTCACAGCAGATATTTCCTCTTTGTTCCTGGAGAGAAATATCTGCTGCTACCTAGGATCAAACTCACAGCCTCCTGATTGTGAGGCAAAAAATCCACCTCTAAGCCCACTGCACGGCGCCTATAACTGGCAGATTAATCAAGGCCAAACAATATTCGTTAGATTCCACATTAAAAGATACAACATATCATTTTATATACATTCAATTCATATATATAGCAGAAGTTTCTCATCCCATCCTACTTTTGTCCCTTTTGTCAAAATTAATGTATTTTGTGAAATTTTGGGGAAAAGCAAGTCGAATTGTATGAAGCTAAGCAAAACCATTCATGCTCTTGGTTTTTACTCTTCATTAAATTCTTGTTTTTTATATTTATACTTTTATTGCATCATAAGCTGTCTAGTGGGACAGTGAGATGGGCGGCCTATAAATTTAATAAATAAAATAAACTAGTTAAACCCAGTTACAGCATGTGGGATTTTATCATTTTAGTATTTAGCATTCAGCTCAAGAAAAAAAAAAGTTTGTAATATTGAATAAGAGAGCAAGGATGCAAACCGCTTGGTTAATTTAACTAGATCCACAATTTTGATTGATTGAGTAAAGTTTAGCCCTGAGTAAACATGATGCTGAAAAAATTCCTACGGCAGCTTTTACTAACAGTTTCCCCAGTTCTGACTGCTCATTAATGCAGAGGCTTGGAGAATAACTCACATAATCATATATATTTTTTTAAGAATGAGGTCAATTCAGCATTCAGCTCTTAGAGGCTACACCCCACATGCCTCAAGTTAATACTGGAACTAACTCACTCAAAGGTGCTTTGTGCCTTTTTTCCCCCCACAAGGTGAGAAGAACTTAAATTGATGTGTGTTGGGGGGAGGGGGGGACAGAGAGAAAGAAAAAGGAAGCCCAAGAGAAACTGACAAAGTCAATGATGCTTGAAGAGAAATGTGCTTCTGATTATCTTACTTGTCAGGGCTTGCAAAAAAAAAAATCCGAACTGCTGGATTTCCAAATATTTAACACCAAGGGAAGCTCTTTAAACACCCTCAAGCTATAAAACTGAATGCTACTACCGATCCATCTGGAGCCAGGAGAAAATTAAATATAATTAGCATTAAGTATAGGGGAGGGCAAGGTGCTAAAAAGTCAGTCTATAGGAATGGAATTCTAGCAATGCAGATACTAAGTCATTCCTCCCCCTCAAAAAAGCTTTTTTTAAAAAAAAAAAAGTCATGGAAAACTTTTGTCCCCGTTTATGTTTACAATATCTCATAACATACATAATTTTCTATAAAGAACCAGTTTGGTGTAGTGATTAAGGTGTCAGGCTAGAAACTAGGAGACTGTGAGTTCTAGATCCTTAAACCCCAAGCCAGCTGGGTGACTTTGGGCCTTGTCTCTCAGCCTGAGGATGCAGGCAAGGGCGATCCACTTCCGAAATCTTGAAATCAAGAAAACTGTATCCAGGCAGTTGCCAGGAATTAACACAGACTCAAAGGCGTGCACGCACACACACACACATATACAAAAAAAAAAAAAAAAACACCCTTTCCAGGGGTTTGGGAAAAAAAAATTGCAGAACATTTTCTCCCCGTGTATGTTTATAATATTTCATAATATAGAAATAATTTCTATACATCTTACACCAATTTACACAATGGCTCAGATAAATTGCCAAAGCCTTTTAAATGCAAATCATATTACTTTACACATGTAACTCATACACGTTCCTGATGGGAAGCTTTTTTAGTATGTGTGAGACAGAAAAGGAGGGAAGGAAAGAAGGAAGGAAGGAAGAAAACAGGAAGGTGGAGGGAGGAAAGAAGGAAGGAAGGAAGGAAGGAAGGAAGGAAGGAAGGAAGGAAGGAAGGAAGGAAGGAAGGAAGGAAACAGCAAGAGAAGAGGGGAGGAGAAACAGAGGGAAGGAGGGAGGAAACAGGAAAAGGAGAAGGGGAGAGGGGGAAACACAGGGAAGGAGAGAGGAAGGAAGGAAACAGGAAGAGGGAGGGAGGAAATAAGGAAGGAACAAAACAGGAAGAGAAGGGAAGGAGAGGAGAGGAGAAAAAATAAGAGATATTTCTCTTCGTGTGCGAAGCCTGTAGGCCTCTACTTCACTGGATAGAAGAATTAAGAAAAGAATTAACAAAGAGTTAAAGGAAGCCAAAGATCTCCACTCTGTAGCACATCTGATAATGCTTTCGTGGTCCAGCGTCACGCTCTTGAAAGGATAACATGTAAATAAAGCAAATCTGATCGTTCCAAAATGTTTACGCATCCTAAGCATAGTTTAAAATAATTCCTTTGTTTTTCTTTCCTTCTTTCGCCTTCAGCCACTCTCTCTTACCCACCTTTTCATGGTTTTCATTCTCATCTTTGTAGAATTCAAATACTCGTCCATCTAGACTATAGGACACTTTGTAAGTCCGAACAAACTCTGATGCTCCTAGACGGCCTGCCCCTTGAGTAACAACCCCAGAGAGGAACATTTTTTTCAACAGATTGATCTGCATGGAATTAAAAAAAAGAAGTGGGGGAAAGAAGGACTTTAAAGAGGCAGAGTGGATCAAATTGGCTGGAGAAAGCCAAATGAAAACAGCAAATGCAAACAGCAAAACCAAGTATTTGATCCTGTGTCAAAAGTTAGACTGTATTGAAGTGGCATTATTCTTTGAGTCTGTTCTGCATATGTGCATCCTGTTTGGTTAATTAGCTCAACATAGTAATTTTCATTAGACAAGGTTAAATTGTAATCTCCCCAGGGCGTGGATCTGTTTGTTTTTTTAAAAGAAAGCCAATGCCATCTAGAAATATAAAGTAACATGAACTATCAACAGGAAAGGAAAAGTTGTGTGAGAATCTCCATGCCAAACTCTATCTAGCCAAAGACCAACTCAAGCTTTTTTGTTGTTATTGTTTTTAAAAATGTAACAGAGTTTTGTTTCCCATCTCACTGTGAATAAAATGTAGGATTGTTAAACTGGCATACTTTTTATATTATCATTGTGTATTTATTATTTTTTGCTTCAGTGTAGATGAAGAGGTTATTTTATTATATATTTGGATCTATACTGAAGAAAGTTGGAAATCGCTCTTCTTATATTTCTTTTTTCCATTTTTTTCCTTGTCCTTTCTAACGTCTTATTCTCTTCTGATTCCCTTCCTCCTTTTCCTGTCATTTTGTATTTTATCTTTTCCTGAAACTGATTAAATTGGCTAAAATAAAAAGAGGCAGGATTATAAGAAAGCTTAGCAAGAGAGAAGTTGACCTTTGCTTTCTGAGTTCTATCACATCACCACCAGCAAATTCTGACACTGTGTTTATGTTTTAAAGAGAGCTTTTGTGATATCAAAGGAAGCATAAAAAGAACTTTAATCTTGGCAGGCATGTTGGCAGATGTTCTTTCACTTCATGGGTCTTAGCAGGCTTGTCAAACTAAAAAGATAAAGGTGCTGCAATCTAATCACACCTAGAGCACGGGTGCCAAATTCGCCACGTCACGTGACATATCCCGACATACCACATCTTTTTCCCCATTGTCAGGGGTGGGCATGGTTTCCGGCATGACACATGCGGCCTGTGGGCTGGCAAGTTTGACACCCCTGGCCTAGAGCCCCAGCTACTCTCTGCTAATTGTTGCATGTCCCAGAGTGGCTGCAGGTTGGGTATCATGCCATAATCATCAACAGACACTCAGCCAGTTCATACAGAGATAACAGCAATAGCAATAGCATTTAGACTTATATACCGCTTCATAATGCTTTTCAGCCCTCTCCAAGCAGTTTACAAGGTCAGCATATTGCCCTCAACAATCTGGGTCCTCATTTTGCCGATTTCGGAAGGATGGAAGGCTGAGTCAACCTTGAGCCGGTCAGGATCGAACTCCAGACTGTGGGCAGAGTTAGCCTGCAATACTACATTCTAACCACTGTGACACCACTGATAATGTTTCCATTCCCCTTTTTGGCTCTTTGAACAGAGGCTTCCTCTTGCACCAATACCTGAATCCAAGGTTTTTTGTCCTCGTTGCTGGCTCTCCAGGCATTCACAAATCCGCTGTTGTGGAGGCGAGCAAGTTCAGGGGCCCAGCGTTGCATACCCATAAGGCCATAATATATCGATGATGCTGTAAGCTGAGCATCTGCAATAGCTCTCGTCTGCATGCCCAACTCATCTTTACAGCCTGGATAGGTGAATTTTGGAGAGGGAGAAAGAAGAAAAAGCTGGAATGAAAGGGTCAAGGAGGAACGTAAGAACCAGAATTTAAAAACAAAACAAAACAGCGGAGTCTTCTATAAAATTAGGACCAAATCATCCAATGTACTCTTGGGGGGATTCAGGCTCCAAACATGGTTCTGGTTGTAACGAAAGAAGCACCATTCACACATCAGGCAGTTCAAGAAATGACTCAAGAGAGAATCTGAACTCTGCAGAGGTGTTAAATAAATTTTGGGTGGGGGAAGGTCTCACCTTTGGTGAGAGGGATAGCATGCAAGCTAGGGAGGGAGGGAGGAAATTGAAGGGAGAGAGGGAGGGAGGAGGAAGCAAGGAAAAGAGAGAAAGAAAGAAAAAGAGAGAAAGAGAAAGGAAAAAAGATGAAGGGAGGGAGGGAGGAAGGGAGGAAGGGAAAGAAAGAAAGAAAGAAAGAAAGAAAGAAAGGAAGGAAGGAAGGAAGGAAGGAAGGAAGGAAGGAAGGAAGGAAGGAAGGAAGGAAGGAAGGAAGGAAGGAGAAGGGAATAAGGGAAAGAAAAAAGAAAAAAGAAAGAAAGAAAGAAAGAAAGAAAGAAAGAAAGAAAGAAGAGGGAGAGAGGGAGGGAGGGAGAAAGCAAGGAAAAGAGAAAAAGAAAGAAAAAGAGAGAAAGAGAAAGGAAAAAAGATGGAGGGAGGGAGGGAGGAAGGGAAAGAAAGAAAGAAAGAAAGAAAGAAAGAAAGAAAGAAAGAAAGAAAGGAAGGAAGGAAGGAAGGAAGGAAGGAAGGAAGAAGAAGGGAATAAGGAAGGGAAAGAAAAAAGAAAGATAGATAGAAAGAAAGAAAGAAGAGGGAGAGAGGGAGGGAGGGAGAAAGCAAGGAAAAGAGAGAAAGAAAGAAAAAGAGAGAAAGAGAAAGGAAAAAAGATGGAGGGAGGGAGGAAGGGAAAGAAAGAAAGAAAGGAAGGAAGGAAGGAAGGAAGGAAGGAAGGAAGGAAGGAAGGAAGGAAGGAAGGAAGGAAGGAAGGAAGGGAGGGAGGGAGGGAGGAAGATGGCTCTCTACATTTGATATAATTCCATGGTGCCTGCAATGCATCTGATGACCATAGTGTTTTGAAACAGGCCAGGCTTCCTGCCCTTGCAGGAAAGGCATCCCAGATCCTCACACCTGTCTCCAGATCTGTCCCTGGTTTGGGTCTCTCTTACAAAAAGGGTTTCCATTTTCCAACTTCATCCTCAAATTGCTGAAGGATTTCTTTTAAATTTCTCTTGGGGCTTTTCTTGAGGGCAGTGCTACCTCTAGTCAGGTTTGCTGAAATCTCCCTAACGGCCCTTATTTCTCATCTGAAAAGACCGCCAACGGTTGGAGAGCAACTTCCTAATGGATTTCTTTGGGATTTAATGGAATAAGCAGTTTCTCTTGGCCCAGCTCCTTTCCCCTTGAGTATCTCCTCTCCTTTGCCCATAAATAAATATCTGAATAAATACACCTCCATCTGCTAGAGCCGAGCTATTAAGACTATCCTTCAGTAATGAGAAACATTACTGTCAAATGTCAACAGAGAATTCCAGTTACCCTCTGAATTAAAAGCAATAACCACCAAAGAATCAAAGCAGTGAGGGGGGGGAAAGGTCATTCAACATTCTAACCCAGATTTCACGCAGGTTGGACAGCCTCAAGTAAGCCATTAACGGAGGCAACACAGCCTACCTCACTGGGCGGTTGTGGGATTGAACAAAAGCAAAAAGACAAAAGCTCTTTTTATGCTTTTTTTTTTTTTAAAGCGTTTCGGAAAGAAAGAAAAAAAGTAAAGCACAATGCCCTTTTGTGCAGCTTGTTTTGTTTTGCGCCACGCTAGATTGCTGATGAAAGCCAGCTTTTTGCATTTGTTCAGAAAAGCAGAAAATGTTTATGACTGAGCCGTAGGTTCAAATGGGGGGGGGGGGTTTCCAATCAGTCTGCTTTTGGATACAAAGGTTCACTAAGAGGAACAGGCAGATCTTAACCAAAGACCTACCTAATCCATTGTTGTTGTTGTTTTAAAATTCATCATGATGATATCTACGAAGAGCTACCCTGATTGGGAAGAGAATTTTTTTGTCCTCAAAATTGCCAGCCAGGGCATAGCCAGATGCACGTGGAATTACTTTCTTCCTCATACAAATTCTCAAATGATTCCATTTCCTCCATCCCGGGAGTCCTACAAGATTTCCCCACCGCAATTGCTTGCAGACTGTTGATTTTCCAAGGTGAGAAACAAGTGACATTTAGAAAGGGGGGGCTGGAGAGGGGGGGAACAGCCAGATTTGTCTCAAGTTCTCTGTTAATGACAGCAGGAAACAAGCAACCTTGAATGGCTGGGGGAGGGAGGGAGGGAGAGAGAGAGGGAAGAAGGAAGGAAGGAAGGAAGGAGGGAGGGAGGGAGGGAGGGAGGGAGGAGGGAGGAAGAAGGAGGAAGGAAGGAAGGAAGGAAGGAAGGAAGGAAGGAAAGGAAGGAAGAAGGAAGGAGGGAGGGAGGGAGGGAGGAGGGAGGGAGGGAAGAAAGGAAGGAAGGAAGGAAGGAAGGAAGGAAGGAAGGAAGGAAGGAAGGAGGGAGGGAGGGAGGGAGGGAGAGAGAGAGGGAAGAAGGAAGGAAGGGAGGGAGGGAGGGAGGGAGGGAGGGAGGGAGGGAGGAAGGAGGGAAGGAAGGAAGGAAGGAAGGAAGGAAGGAAAATATCCTCTTCAGTCCCCAGCTATTACATCTGTCCATCTATAGATTTCCACTGTAATATTTTTGTTCTACTTTCAAAATCTTAAAATCTTCCCAAGCCTGCTGGTATCTCCAGGATGCTTTGAGGTCCATCAGGAGCAACTAGGGTTGCTCTCAACAGAATACAGAGTTCATCAGACAAAATGCTTGCTGTATGCCCACCTCTTCTTCCCAGTAGCCATCATTTGCTTGTCTCTTTCCCCCTCTTTGAAGCTGGGTGGGTAAGGTCCAGAGGGAAAGAACAAGGTGACAGAGACATATGGGTGACCTCACTGCTGTTCAGTAGTTCAGAGAGACAAGCACAGAGGTGGGGAAGGCAAAGAGAAGAGTGTGAAGGTCGGAAATCAAGCTGGGTCAGACCTGCTTGGTACTTGGATATGAGAAAGGACAGCGAGAACTAGCCTGCAAAATCAAAAATCATCCTAGAAGAAGCATCCATTGCAACCTTGAAAAATTGCCTGGACATTTCCACAAAATCCACCAGGAATTAAGATCCAAGGAAACTTTAACTTATGGGTTTAATGTTTTGTGAACTCAGCATTCCTTGGACTGCAGGAATTGTAGCCCTCGGGCCAATGCAGGTGACCTTTGCCTAAAAAAATATGCTGTCTTCCCAGTGCAGACAGATCCAGCAATGGTGCTCTAAGCCTTCTTCATTTCTTAACTCTCTTCCAACTCACTTTCAGCAGAACCAAAGACTTACGCATCTGGCAGGTCTTCCCCACATAGGGCGAGGGGCATTTACAGTCAAAGTGGCCCTTCAGATTGAGGCAGGTCCCCCCGTTCTTGCAGGGCTGAGAGAGGCATTCATTCACGTCTGTGGCAAAAGGAAAGAACAGATGTTAGATTATGATTAATTTTTAGTTTTTAAATTGGAATTGTTTATATTGTTATTTTTGTTTTTTTATTGTTTAATTAATTTGTTTTGTATCTGAGTTAAAGCACATTATCGACTTTGTTATTTGTATAGTTGGATAAGTTTATTTAGAATTTGTTTGTTTATTTGTAACCCTGTAACCAGCTCTGGGAAGTGAGGGGGGAGGGAGGGAGGGGGTTGTTTTAGGGGGGGGGGGATATTGTTAAAAACTTGTATAAAACTTTTCAATAAAAAAAAAGGAAAGAACAGATGCAGCCCCATCACTACCGGGTTTCACCAAATCTAACCTTTCAAGAAAGTCAGATCAAGCCCTGCCTAGTAACAGTTAGGACTACTAATACTTTCCATTATTTTAAAAAAAGGTTAAGGGTCTGTGGCTCAAAACACAGCACCTGTTCATATCTCACACGATAATTCGTTTAGAAGGACGTCATGTTCATTATTTTCTGGAAAATTCAGAAAATGTTTAATTTGGACTTGATGTTCATGCTCTTTTTCCAAACTGATGGTTTGGAAAATCACAAGAGGACAACTAAAATTGCATGTTTTATAATTGCCAAAAAAAGGGGGGGAGCCTTTCAAGGTCATTCTTTGTTAGCTGTATAACTAGCTATTAAGAAGGCAAAGTTCACACAACAATCTCTCTCTCTCTCTCTCTCTCTCTCTCCCCCTCTCCCTTTCTCTTGAGGGTACAACACATTGCGTTGCATTACATTACAGCTTTGTTAGCCATGTTTCAGTGCACATGGTTTCCGCCATTATGAATGTTTATCAGGCTGAGGGACACTTCTGTCCCTAAATGAACAGATGTGGACCTGACCTTGGGAATGGAGAAGGATTAAAGAGAGGGGGAAATGGCTTTCAGAAAAGATGACTCAGTCCTAAAAAGAAGAAAACATGAGAAAAGCCTAGCACTGATGATGTTATCTAGTTTGGTAATGAAATGTCTGCAAGAAAACCAGAAACTCAGACAGCACCAAGGACCCTACATTCCTCCTCCTCCTCCTCCTCCTCCTCCTCCTCCTCCCCACTGCCTACTAGCACTGATGATGTTTCCTAGTTTGGGTAAGGAAATGTCTGCAAGAAAACAACCAAGCACCAAGGATCCCGCACGAGAACTCAAAAATAACACGGCGTTTATCTTGTTTGGTCGCAGACAGGGAGACAGAGACCTGGATATGCTTTCAAGATTCTACTACAATAAAAGATATTCCTGCAATCCCTGTGGTGCCTGTTTCCTAACTTGGCCTATCTCAAAGGAGGAGCATCCTATCCCAAAATGCCCTTTCTTTCACTGCAAAAAAAGAAACACAAGGAGATAAGATGAAGGAGGAGGGAATCCGAAATAGCAGTTGGTTGTCAGGTTTTGCATATCACTGATGCCACGAGGAGAGAAGAGGCTCTTAGCGAGTCTTGTAGCTGGCAAAAATGGCACACAAATGGTTTGACATTTTCTGGATGCACCTGAGAGGGTTGGGTAGGAATGCCCATAGTTTTATGAACTTCTCGGACACTGGTTCAAAACTAGCACAAATGGCCTGCGTGATTTCTTTCCAGAAGAAAACCATACTCACTGTACTGGCAGTGTTTGCCACTGTACCCAGGATGACAGATGCACAGGTATTCGTTGAAGGCATCACCCCGGTTGGGAAGCAACCTGCATTCCCCTTTATTCTTGCACGGATTGGGATGGCAGGGACCTAAAAGCAAGAGATGCAGAAGGAGGAATATACGATAAAGAACATTGTACGTTTAACGTTGCATGTATTCACAGCAGCAAGAATTATATTTGCTCAGCACCGGAAAAATGAAGAAACACCACCTAAAGAAGAGATCATCAAGAAAACACCGGACTGTGCAGAAACGGATCGACTTAGGCTGAAGTTTAAAGAAAAAGAAGGTACAGAATATTTTCAAATATGGGACGTATTTTATCAATGGCTGGAGAAATGGGGAAGAGATTAGGAATTTACTGTGCATTATTAAGCAAAACAAATGGACAACACGTTGTTGACCAAACACCTATGAATTGTAAATATAGAAAAACTAATAAAATATTATTTAAAAAAAAGGAGGAGGAAAAGAGAGGAGGAAAATTGGGAAGAAAAGAAACCCAATCAGCCTCTGCAAGATCCGTCTCTCTTAAGTGAGACGTTTGTTAAATGAATTTTGCCCCATTGTACGACCTTTCTTGCCACCGTTGTTAAGGGAATCACTGCAGTTGTTAAGTTAGCAGCATGGCTGTTAAGCGTTTCCGGCTTTCCCCATTGACTTTGCCTATCAGACGGTCGCAAAAGGGGATCACATGATCCCGGGACACGGCAACCGTCGTAAATATGAGTCTGAATCTTGATCACGTAACCATGGGAGGGGGGGCTGGAAAGGTCGTAACTGTGAAAAACGGTTGTAAGTCCTTTTTTCAGGGCCGTTGTAACTTTGAGCGGTCGCTAAAGGAACTGTTGTAAGTTGAGGACTGCCTGTGTTTTAAAAGAACCCCGAGCAGCAACATCGCCCTCTTCTCTTTGCCTGCATCTTAATTCAGAAGACAGAATGAATGACGGTTGAATCCTAAATTTAAGAGCAACGATGCTTCGCATATTCTAAGGGCCTTTAGCATGGCTATCATTTTTAGACAAATGACCTCGGTAAACCTCCATCAGATCTGATTAGAAAACCAAGATGGATACAGGAATAAACCAAAGTTTGTGGCTTGGCCCATTGGGGGGGGGGGAAGGACCCCAGAGAGTGCAGCTTGTATTTAATCCTTAAAGAAACCGTCCTATGAGCTGTTCAGATTTGCTGGGCTGCCCTCTTCTGCCTAGGAAGGGTAGAGGAATTGATCTGCCTTCAATTAAGGCAGCCTTCACAAGAATTCTGGCTTAGGGGGAGATTCAAAAATGGTCTATGCCAGAGATCCCCAACCTTTTGGGCACCGGGGACCGGTGCCACGGAGTAAAGTTTTTCCGCGGACCAGAGGGCGTGTGGTTTTGAATACTGCCTGCATCCCGAGGATGGAGCTTTGCTTTTGTTTGTGCGGCCCGCTTGCTGGCATGCTGCGGATCGGTGACGGTCCACGGACCGGGGTTAAGGACCCCTGGTGTATTCTATAACACAGGGCAATCTATGGCTTCTGGACCCCTCCGTCATAGCCCTAGGAGTCTTCTTTGCTCCGGCCATCAAACTTTAGCAGTGCAGTTGCCAAAAAGTGACTAGTCACGCTACACCTGGAACATTTAGGAAAGGGAGAACATCTGGCTAAGAATATCATACTCACCTTTCTCAGTTTCATTACAGGTAGGCCCAGTAAAGCCTTCTGCACAGAGGCAGAAGAAAGGAGATTCATCCAGACTCTTCAGACAAGTCCCCCCATTCTGGCACAGATTTACATCACAGAAATCACCTATTAAAAAAAAATAAAGAAACATTTCAGCGCAATGAAGAAGGAAGGGGTTGCTCTCTTCCCAACTGCACTTTTGAGCATTTATCTAATCCTCTATATCTCATTTTCAGTATTGTGCAGATATAGGAGCCGGGCTCTTGTAGATAGCAAATGGGGGAAGAGGCTACAGTTGAACAAAAGAACACACACTTCCAAACAAGGGCATGAAAAACCATTTTGGGTCAAGGGTTGCACTAATGTTTTGGTGACACGTGGGGCCAAGGCAAGGCAAGACCAAGATTGCATGTCAAAGCAATTAAACTTTCAACATCATTACCACTAAGCTAATTATTTATTTGTTCCTTTGTCCGTGGGTCAAAAATTACCATGTGGCTCTGACGTGGGTCACACCCAATTCATCAAAATCTAGAGTCACAAGAGTCAAATTTAAAAAAAAAAAGCTACTGGGTCAGATCAAAAGCTGATCATGTTTGACGCTTCTGTTCATCCAGGAAGAAGGAAATGCCTCTGGGAAATTCACAAGCCAACGATTCTTTTTTTTTTTTAAAGAACCTCTGGATATATAATTTTTCTTTTCAATCGAACCATTGATAAATATTTGTGGACGTTCTCAGTCGTCCAGGTCAGAGTTGTGTCAAAAGATGCTTTTTCAAAAGGCAACTGGGCTGTTTTTTTTCCCTTGAAGAAAACATTTTGCTTCTCAATCCAAGAAGCTTCATCAGTTCTGATAGCGGGGAGATGGAAGGATAGGTACGGAAAGTTGAGACCACCCTCAGTTCTTTGATGAAGCTTCCTGGATGAGAAAAAAAAGCACCTTTGAGACTAATCGTTGGTAAGTCAAATCAATGTTTATTACAAAGACAGAGACCTGAGCAAGTTCAACTCAATTTATTATTACTACAGCCAAAGACCAACACATAAATTAAACATTCAAAACTAAACAGAACCAACACAAGGAGACATAGCAATATATTACAATAATGACATAATCAATGGGTGACCAAGGTCTACCTAGTTTTACAGACAGTATTAACAAAAACTAGCTACCTTCAGAAAAACTGAATCATACTGACCTGACAATAAAAATACATTGAGTATAGTCTAATGTTTAGAAGGCCAGATCCTGAAGTTGAAACTCAAGTACTTTGGCCACCTAATGAGAAGGAAGGACTCACTGGAGAAGAGCTTAATGCTGGGAAAGATTGAGGGCAATAGAAGAAGGGGACGACGGAGAATGAGGTGGCTGAATGGAGTCACTGAAGCAGTAGGCGTGAACTTAAATGGACTCCAGAAGATGGTAGAGGACAGGAAGACCTGAAGGAACGTTGTCCATGGGGTCGCGATGGGTCGGACACGACTTCGCAACAACAACAACAACAACATAATCTAATGTTGGATAAAAACACATAATAAAATTAATTATAAAAGGTGATTAAAAAGATCTAAAATGTGTATTTATGTTTCTTGTGAATCCCCAATGCTGCTGTGCAGAATCTAGCCACCTGCGCCGTGATCCCTGCCTGCTCGTCCTTAAGCAGCCACTGAGATAAATACTTTCCAAACGACCACGATACCTATCAATTATGGGAAGGATATGGTTTTTCCGAATAGCTCTACAGAAGGAACATCAAAGGAGTATGTGTCCAATGGTCTCCACCTCTCCTGAGCCACAGGAGCAGAATCTTTCAGCCAATGGTGTCTTTTTATACTTGCCGTACAGGACGGCTGATGGAAATGCATGGCACCGTGCAAGCAAGAATGCTTTCCAGTGGTTTACTGACTCCAACTGACTAAGATACCTGGCAGGTGTAATCCCATATCTAATACCTGAGCAAGTTGAACACACTCAAGGAGTATCCAGTTAAAAATTCTAGAATAACATCATAAATGACAGATAAAACCTATGTTAAAATCACAGTAGGGCAGGGAGGGTCTTCAAACTTGGCCCTTTTATGACTTGTGGACTTCAACTCCCAGAATTGAAGTCCACAAGTCATAAAAGGGCCAAGTTTGAAGACCCCTGCAATAGGGCATCCAATCTGTCAGTTGCACGTGAGCGAAACACAGCATGCCCTAACTATAATACAATATCAATCCTTCAACTGTGAGGCCCGTAATCATTAAAAACTAAATTACTCTTGGTAAAGAGCCACCTTGTCCATACCAAACACTCATGCTTGCTTAACTGCAGGGTCTCCAAAAAAGAAAAGAGAAAAGGCGACAGGAGCCACCATCCCAAACCCAAACTCTCTGAGAACAGACAGATGGAGTGGCCTCCCACACTGGCTCATAAAATGCAGCTTTCTTTGGCTTAAGCTACTCCCGAGATCTTTTTATAGCACCGGTTCCTTGGGGTTAATCTCCACTTCCTGCCGTTCCGCAGACTTTCATGCAGGCTTCACCAGAAACTTGGCTCCATACGGGGAGTTCAAAGGTGCTTGGTGTGACTCCTACAGCCAATCCTGTGGGAAAAAAGCAGCAGCGCTGGGCAGGAGTTCAAGTCCTTGCTTGTACTGGCTGGTTCTGGAGGACTTCACCCTCTCTCTATGTATTGCCATGAGAAGAAGGAGAACTTGCCACTTGGAAGGAAGCAAAGCTATTATTCTCCATCCAACTCAGACCACCAAAGGCTGGGAAGAGAAGTCTCACTCTTGAACCTCTGTCAGCCAAGGATTCCTAAGGTGCCTGCCAAGCTACTGTAAGAAATGTGAGACCTCTTGGGAAAACAGGCCACGTTTGAATAACCATGTGCCATTATTTGTTTGGATTCTTCTCTTCTATTCCTTCAGGTTCGTTCACTCGCTCCCAATAAGTGGGAAATCTCATGTGCAATGTTACTAAAGCTCTTTTTAAAAGAAGATTAAAAACTAAGATGATCAGAGGCCCGGAGACTAAAACATACGAAGAACGGCTGCGGGCCTTGGGTTTGGCTAGTCTAAAGAAAAGAAGAAATGGGGGAGACATGATAACAGTGTTTCAGTATCTGAGGGGCTGCCACAAGGCAGAGGGGGTCAGGTTGTTCACCAGAGCACCAAAGGGCAGGACGAGAAACAGTGGCTGGAAACTGATCAAAGAGAGAAGCAACCTGGAAATAAGGAGAAAGTTTGATGCTTTGGAAAATAGGTTGACCCCTTCTTCTTTGTGGCAACCTTTCAAATATTGGAATATTGCTATCATGTCCCCCCTAGTCCTTCTTTTCATTGGGCCAAACATAGATAATTCCTGTAACTGTTCTTTGTATGTTTTAGCCACACTATTTGGCTGCTACTGCACACTGTTAGCTGCCAGTGATGAATACAATTATAGATTTGTATCTTATTCTATGGTTACAACTTAACTCACTTCTTTTTATAATCTACTAACTAGACAATGTTTGGTGGTTCATCCTTTGGTAAATATTTACTTACCTAAAGAGATAAACAAAATGACCATGGCTGGGCAAAAAAAAAAAAAAAAGCATTGACTTTGTGGGAAACTAGCAGAGAGTGTCCGATATCCTGATCACGTGACCACAGCTGACCATGGAGCCATTGTAACAGCCACTGATTTATGAATGCAGATAGTCTGAAGATCCTTGAAATTTCAACTCCATGGGATTAATGAGTCCTCAATTTTGTATGCCTTCTTTAAGTTAGCAGATTTGAGGTAGCTTGATTCAAGAACTGTCACACTAGGATGCCTCATTTGTGCTAACTGAAGCTAATTAAATAGCCAGGATGGTCTTAGACAGTGTATAGATTCTGTCTAAACATCGCAACCATAAACCATAAGTTTATTTCTTTCTGTTTCATGCAAAAGATTTATAAGGGCTCTCCAGTCAGCAATAAATATTGATACTGTCTTTGATCAAAGAAGTCAATTTAGCCTTCTCTGCAACTCCCTTCATCTTCACCAACCATTCCACCGTGGTGAGTAATGTTGAGCCTTTCCACTTTTGTGCATATAATAATCTCACTGCCGTTATTGTATATAAAACTAGAGTCACCTTGAACAGTGAGATATTAGCGATCCATCAATCAAAACAAAGTCCTGTGACCTTTTTTCCAGCTTCATGCATCAATTCACCAAAAGAACAAACGGTTGTCCAGCCTCTTCTTAAAAACTTTCCCAGCATCAGGCTCTTCTCCAGTGAGTTCTTCCTTCTCATTAGGTGGCCAAAGTAGTTAGTTTCAACTTCAGGATCTGGCCTTCTAAAGAGCAGTCAGGGTTGATCTCCTCTAGGACTGACCGGTTTGATCGCCTTGCAGTCCAGGGGACTCTCAGGAGTCTTCTCCAGCACCATAGTTTGAAGGCATCCATTCTTTGGCGCTTAGCCTTTCTTATGGTCCAACTTTCACAGCTATACATTGCAACTGGGGAAAAGTTGAGGAGACAGCTGTATGGGATGCAACTAAGTAATTCTCCAGTTCCCATGTTCTTGAACCAGAGAAATGGTCAATAGTTATGGATTATGGAGTGCTGCAATCCAGGAGGAAACAGGCCAGGCTGGAGAAGGCAGAAGAGCATCGCTTTATTTCGGTCCTCTTCTCTTCCTGCTTCAGTAAGCCAAGTATGTTTGTGTCATTTTTTATATTTACTCTCCAAGCACAAGCCCATTCCTGTCCCTTAATCAGGCAACCTTCCTGTCCCTTAAATAAACAGCCAAGGAACAATGGAAACATAAACTTTATCTTGAGGCAAGGATAGCAAGCTAACAAGGGAAGCATTGCCTAAGGGTTGCAGCTTTGTGTCAAGAAAGCTGGATTTGGATGAGCTTCTGGTTATCACTTTACTCCTTATTCACAAATCGGATGATCAGCATTACTGCACATACACACACACTCATATACTGCCTCTATTGTGCAGGAGCTACTCCCCCAAATCTATCCATATTTAAAGAGGTGGGGGGGCAGGAGGTTAAAAACCCAAAGTAGTGAACACAAGAACACAAGGGGAAAATAAGTGAAAACCACCCAGCTTCCAAATTGTATTAAGGCTTCACCATTTCTCCAATATCTCGCTAAAAAATTGCATTTGTTGCTCTGCCACCTCAGAATACAGAATTTCCATATAGGCCTCCTCACCAGATGAACTGTCTGGATTTAAAGCTTCTCGGAACAATGTGGGGCCTTTTACATCACCACTCCCAAAGCTAGAATTCATTTCAAGCGGTCCAAGCGTTTTATATTACATCCTAAGACCTCTGAGGTTTCCAGTCCCTTTGGAGAAAGGTCCAGGAAAGTCACCTACTTTGTTTAGCAATTCTTTGCAAATACAATAATAATAATCTCATTTTCTGACTAACACGCTTACAACCAAATTTCACGCACCTAACAACAACATACTGGGAGTGACAATTAATGCTGGCATAGCTGTATGAGAGAACACTATTGAATGAGATGATAGTAACCAGGGATCTTCACAGCATGCGTCTCTCTCTCTCTCTCCCTCCCTCCCTCTTTGTCATATATTCATTCACTTAATGACCTGGTCATTGGAATGACACTCAGTCACTAAATGGAGAGCAGGTGCAAAGCTAGGATTAGGGAAACTTAAAAACTCCCTTTCATCTAATTACTAAATACCAGGTACTACAGAAACCATTTCTTCCTTCCTCCCCACTCAGAATATATTTCATTCCAGAATTATCAACCTGGGCAAAGATCATTTAATTCATTTAAGGGCCTTGAATTTATCCTCCGATCTGTTCTCGCTTACAGAAGCTGAGCAAGCAACAATTGAGGAAATGACTTCCGTACAGAGCTATGTCACAGGTGAGAAAGTGCTCTGATGTTTTGCTAGCTGGGCAGATCTAAAACCTCTTTCTCCATTCCCTGTGTTCGTGAAGCACAACATGGGCAGCCTGTGGCTAACTTTCCCCTTCGGGATCTTCCCCAAATCTCTTTTACGACTGTTTCAGCAAAACAAAACAAAACAAAAAACAACCCTGCCCATCTTATGTTCTTTAACTGCATCTTCCTTTGACAGTTTTTTTACTTCTGCAATCCATGGAACCTCTAGTTTTTCCCCATATTCTTCCCTGTTTTATTTTCAGAAAGGTATTACTCTGTCCTGCATTTCTTTTGCCCCATGTTTTTCTTATGCTGTCAGTCACACCTGCGATGTCTGGAAGGCTTGCAAATAGCTCTTTGTTTAGATATTGGAGGTTTGCATTGTGAGTCTTATTTGTACAAAAAAACTGATTTGCAGGATCCAATCTGGATCAGTCACCGGGACCATTGGTTTTGTTTTCTGAACTTTTGGACTCGTGCTGTAGCCCAACCGCCGGTCCATGGACCTGTACCCGGCTGTGGCATGCCAGCAACTGGTCTGCACAAACAAGTAAAGCTCCATCCGCGGGATGCAGGCAGCACACAAAACCACGCACCCTCCGGTCTGTGGAAAAACCTCTCTCCAAGGAACTGGTCCCTGGTGCCCAAAAGGTTGGGGACTTCTGCTGTAGCCCATCCTCAGGGAACTTCTCTCTAGCAGAGAGCCCAGGATGAGTTCCAGTATGAGTCCCAGTGATCGATCCAGATTGGATCCTGCAACGTTATCCTGGGACACGTATATGCGCCCTCATTCGTGAATGATACTCTTGTTTTTAAACAGCATGCTGTGACACCCAAAAACCTCACAGTGAGATTTTCAATTCTGTAACTGGCTGTATCCAAACTTCTTCAAAACTAACTGATTTTATTTTCCTTCGTCAAAGGGCTGAATCTGCTCAAGAACATCCCAACTGCCAGGGCAGGTAAATGCTTACTGCTGCAGATTCAGGCCAAACTCCATATGCAGCAACTCCACGGTAGAAATTTAAACAGTTTCTTCCTGCTGTCACCATCATTCAGAAATAAAAGTACATTATGCTTTCTCCTTCAGTGCTTGTTCTGGAAATGAGGCAAATCCTTAGCAGAAATAAAATAAAAAAAAAAGCTCTCACATAGAGTGACACTGCAAGATACGTTTACATAAAGCATGTCACCTTATTCTGCACTGAATTAGGATCACGTCACACAATACGCTAAGCCAAAGTATGATTAGCTTGGTTTTGACTCAGCATGTTGAACAAAGCAAGCCCCTGTGATTCACAAGCCATGATTTATGACTTAATGTTGTGTGAACTCAGCCAATGGGGGCTTAGTCAACAAATCATTATTTAAGAGCAATGCAGGAGCCATCCTTATAGTTTTGTTCTTCATCCAAAGAATTTAAGGTGACCTTTTCTACAATGTAGTTTCTTTCCCAGCATACTGGCTGGCTGAGACTAATCATATAAATTAGGGTTTATTCCAACACAGCTTACTGAATAAGCCATCATAGGCTGGTTTCACACAATCAGCTAAACTATAGATCATGGTTTACAAATTATAATGGCCAGATTTGCAGTGGATGTGAAAAATAGACCTTTTAGGGCTTAAGCTGGGGTTTCTCAAATGATGGCTCATTGCGAATGGTCACTGAGAAGAGAAATGGTTACTAGCCTAAGTATGGCTATGAAAAATAGGTGCTGGCTAGCAACCTTTTGCAGATTCACCTATTAGCCATCTCAAATTAAATCTTGATTTTTTTTAACAGTGGAAAACTTTGATCTAGGATTGTCCCTGTCCAACTACACAATTTATCTTATTTTAAAGCTACCACTTCAGAAAAAAGACACTGCAGTGAAGTTGAACCAGCCAACTACACATTTAAATCAATGAGTTGGCTTCATTTCAGCCAAGTAGGGAGGTACAGGCTGTATTTCCAATAATCCAGCTTCTCTGAATGACAAAAACCATGCATTCATCTAAACATGTACAGAGTTCCTTCACACTCTCAGGAACCACAGCTGGGAAGTGCACATCAAGGCAAAATATCCAGGTTTTCAAGTACAACGAAGCTCAGAGGGATGTGTTGCTTAGCAGTAAAACGTATGTTTTGCTGACCAAAAATCCTGGGTTTCCTCCCAAGTAAGGCTCTGATTTGAAACATCAAAGACTTCTTAGTCAGTGATTTCACACAGCACATTAACCCATGGATAACTGGACAGAATAAATTCAGGATGTGCACACCATACTGGACCACAAATTAGCCAAGCATCTTTCAGCTAATTTGCTGCAAACAGTGCTAAAAATAAACAGTACTGAGACAAATGGATTAACAATCTGGTTTTGGTGTAAATTGCCTTCCCGTCTTCCCACATTTCCTTTTGCAAAAGACCCCTGAACTGATGCATGCTGAGATGGTGTAGGTTCTCCTGCTTGAGCAGGGGGCTGGACTAGAAGACCTCCATGTTTCTATTCTGTTCTGTTCGGTTCTGTTCTGTTCTGTTCTATTCTATTCTATTCTAAGATTGGTTCAGCATCTGTAGCTCAGACTGAGAAGTTCAACCAATTGTCTTAGAATCAGGGTTCAACTTAGAGCACCAACCCAGAAAAAAACAATAACCCTCAAATAATTAAAACATGGGGAGAGGGGACCAAGATAAGAGCTTTCCTAGCAAGATTTTCCTTTTAGTTTGGGATTACCATCACAATATATACCCTAAGGACAGGCGGGGAAGATTTTTTTTTAAAAAAAAAGAGGTGGGGTCCTTTGCCGCTTCTGGCAAAAGCGAGATTTGCACATCACAGTACTTAAGCCAGATCAGGGAAGACTTAACCGCTTGCGTTCACGTGCAAAATGGAAAGCATAAACATTACTCGGCACGCGAAACCAGCGCTAGAATAGAATAGAATAGAATAGAATAGAATAGAATAGAATAGAATAATGGAATGAAGAATAGAATAGAATAGAATAGAATAGAATAGAATAGAATAGAATAGAATAGAATAGAATAGAATAGAATAGAATAGAATAATGGAATGGAATGGAATATAGAATAATATAGAATAGAATAGAATAGAATAGAATAGATAGAATAGAATAGAATAGAATAGAATAGAATAGAGTCTGGAAGGGACCTTGGAGGTCATCTAGTCCAGCCAGCCTGAGCAGCAAAAGGACCAGATTCAACACCACCCCGTGGGAACGCGGCCGAAGAACCGCGGCAGGGTTGAAGCAAAAGAGGATGGGGGTTTAATAGATCTGAAACCCCAACGTGCGCTCCCCCCATCACCCTCACCCGCTTTCTGATCATCGTTGGCCCGGGAGCCCCGAGAGAATCATAAAAAGTTTTTTTAAAAAATAAGAATAAGAAGAATAAGAACCCAGCCCCGGGAATCTCCGCGCTTCCTTGCTTGCTTGCCTTACCTCTGATGCCGCTCAAGGCGGAGCAAGCGACCCAAAGCCCCAGCAGGAGCTGCCGGGCGCCCGGTCTCTCCATGAGGTTCCCCCGCCGGCGCCGGACTCCCGTCCCGTCCTACTCCGCGGCTGTTTGTGCGTGTGTGTGTGTGTTGTTGTGTATGTGTTTTCCGCTCTTCTCGCTGGGATTAAGTCGGTGAGCGAGTGACTCAGTGCCTGCCGCCCTCCGCCCCCTCCTTCCCCCGCGGGCTCAGCCTGCCGGTTACGCCCGGGCTCCACGTGCTCCGGCCGGCCAGCCAATGGAAGCCGGAGGGGAGCGGCAGGCTCGGCTCGCCTCCTCAGCCCGAAGCCGCTCCTTTGGCTCCGCGGAGCTCGGCCGGGGGAACCGGGCTGGGCAGCCAGCCGGGTGCTCGGCCGGCCAGACCCGCCAGTTTTTCCCAACGGGGGAAGAAAGGTCGGTGCGCTCCTTTCTCTGGACTCCCCAGACGCTCTTAGCCACTCGCGTGACTTATGAGCCGGATTCCCACGACGACTCGCTGAGAACCGGACGAATGCTCAGTCGGCGCCAGGGCTGATCCTGAACTGGGCGAATGTAGGTCAGCGTCTGCCAGGCGCAACCCACCGACGGGGTTGCAGGTTAACATCTTGCACAGGGCGCGGCTAGATGACCTCCAAGGTCCCTTCCAACTTTATTATTGTTGCTTTTGTTAATAATAATAATAATAATCATCATCATCATCTGCCTATCCTTGGTCCTTGGTAAGGACTCGATAGGTAGACAAAATGCCAAATCCAGTATGAACATCTGGCTGACTGTGCGATGATCCATAATAATAATAATAATAACAACAACAACATCCACATCTGCCTATCCCAGGTCCTGGGTAAGGACTCGATAGGTAGACAAAATGCCAAATCCAGTCTGAACATCTGGCTGACTGTGCGATGATCGATAATAATAATAATAATCTGCAAGAAATATCATTTGCCTGTAAGCAAGAACTGATGGGACCATAAAATAGAGACAGTTATAGAAAATGATAAAATTAAACTGCTCTGGGACTTCAGAATTCAAACAGACAAGCACCTGCAACATAACACCCCGGACTTAACAATTGTCGATAAGAAAGACAAAAAAGTCTGGATAGTGGACGTGGCAGTGCCTGGAGACAGCAGAATAGACCAGAAAGAACTGGAGAAGATAACAAAATATAAAGACCTACGAATAGAAATAGAAAGACTGTGGCAAAAGCAAGCAAGGGTAGTACCAACAGTAAAAGGCGCCTTGGGTGCAATCCCAAAACAACTGGAGCACCACTTGAACACCATCATTGGCATTGACAAATTTGCTCTTAGTCAATTGCAAAAGGCGGCCTTACTAGGAACTGCTTCCATCCTGCGATGATATCTGCAATACCATCAAACATCCACATCTGCCTATCCTGGGTAAGTCCTGGGTAAGGACTCGATAGGTAGACAAAATGCCAAATCCAGTCTGAACATCTGGCTGACTGTGCGATGATCAACAACAATAAAATAATAATAATAATAATAATAATAATAGTAATAGAGTGAAGCAACCTAGAACTAAGGAGAAATTTCCTGACAGAACAATTAACCAGTGGAACTCCTTGCCTCCAGAAGTTGTGAATGCTCCAACACTGTAAGTTTTTAAGAAGAAACTGGACAGCCATTTGTCTGAAATAGTATAGGGTTTCCTGCCTGAGCAGGGGGTTGGACTAGATGACCTCCAAGGTCCCTTCCCACTTTATTACTGTTTACTATTACTACTGTACAGGTAGTCCTCAAGTTACGACCACAAGCGAGCCCCAAGTTTATGTTGCTCGGTGAAACATTTTGCCAAGAGAGTTTGCCCCGTTTTTACCACCTGTCTTGCCATTGTTGTTAAGGGAGTCGGTCCACTTGAGAAGCTAGTAACCTGGTTGTTAAGTGAATCAGGATTTCCCCGTTGACTTTGCTTGTCGGAAGGCCGCAAAGAGGGATCACGTGATCATATACTGCAAGCGTCGTAAATATGAACCCATTGCCAAGAATCTGAATTTTGATCACGTGACCTGCAACGGTCCTAAGTGTGAAAAACTGTCGTAACTTCAAACGATCGCTAAATGAAGTGTTGTAAGTCAAAGGCCTACCTGTACTTGGCACAGCTGTCTAATTGTTCAAGGGGATGTGCCACAGCTTTATTATTACATTGCAACCCCTGGCCCATCTGTGTCAGAGCTCAAGTTTTAATTTTCTCTGCTGGGGGATGTGTGTAGCACTCCAGAGGTTGTCAAACTAGAACTTCCAACATGGTTACAACATCAAGCGAATGTGAGTGATCCCACAGGGTTGTTTGGTCTGTAAGTAAATGCTCATTATACCAGCCTGCAAGACCAGTTGGGACCTAATCTTCACAAGAGACACTGACCCACATTTTTGGACAGGGTGTGGCCAAAGCCTTCAACCATTCTTTATGCAGGAATGGTGTAGAAATTATTCAGATGCTCTGGTGCATCTCTGTCTGATTCACTGGACTAGCTGGCTAGCTTTCTAACTGGAAGCACTGGCTTATGCAAAAAGGGCAGCGGATGGTTGTTGTTTTGTTTGAAAATAGAAGCTGAAGAAGCTTCTTGGACAAGAAGCGAAAAGTCTTCAAAGAAAAAGAAGAAAGTCCAGTTGCCTCTTGAAAAAGCTCCTGTGGGACGACTGTGATCTGGATGGCTGAGAATCTCCAGAGACATTTGAAAGTGGAACATTCTTAATTTTCAGATAAAACAATCACCCTTGGGGGATCTTTTCAGAGATTATCACCTCAAGCCTTCAGCGATGGCAGAGCTTCCGATTTCCTTAAAAATTATGATCCATTTTATGTCATATCCTGTTTTATAAAACTGGCCAGATCTGAATTCCACAAGGAAACATTTGGAGAATGTAACTGCCTTGAAATTAGTCCATGTCGAACTGCATAGCACGGTCAAACATCAGGAGCTAACTGTAGGAAATGTTTGATGAGATTTGGTACTGAGTTATAAAAAACGCTTTATGATTAATTTTATGTCAGATCATGTTTTATAAAACTTGCCAAATTTGAGTTCCACAGGAGTCGTGGGTTCCACAGTTTTGATGCATTCTCTAAGTTAAGCCCATTTGAGGCCTCTTGGTTCACAAATTTTTGTTCGGTGATGCACCATTTTGCCCATCACAGACATGTGATTTTTAGTAGGAAAGAAAGAATTCCTGAAAGATTGGTCAGGAAGCACTGAAAACTAAGAATGCCTAGCGTAACAAAGAGAGGGGCAAAGAGTGACATGATAGCAGTCTTCCAATATTTGAGGAGCTATCACAGAAAAGAGGAGTCAACCAAAGCATCTGAGGCCAGGATAAGAATAGATGGAAACGTATCAAGGAGAGATCTAATCTAGAACTAAGGAGAAATTTCCTAACAGAACAATTAATCAGTGGAATGGCTTGCCTTCAGAAGTTGTGGATGCTTCATCACTGGAGATCTTCAAGAAGAGATTAGACAGCCATTTATCTGGAAAGGGTTGGACTAGAAGACCTTCAAAGTCCCTTCCAATTCTGTTATTCTGTATTCTGGGTCACAGGGGTATGGAAACTCCCAGGAGTGGAAAAGAGAAGCGACAAAGAAACAAAGGGCAAAAAAAAAAAAGGTAAATCAAAGATGATGTCCAACAGGAAGTGCCTTCAGCTGATGATTCCTGATCTAAAGCCACATTGAAAAACTTGCTTACCAAATTCTTTCATAATCTGTAAATAGGGTAGACTCTTTTACAGAAGTATCTTCACTCTTTTGACCTGAATTCAAAAGAAGTCAAGTTTCTAGTTCCTGATACTCAGTTTGAAACCCAACTTCAATGTTTGCATAGCCTCTACGTTTTAAAAAACAAACATACAAAAAAAATGGAGGTTTCTATAATGCATATTTCTTCACTTTGATTGTGGAAAGCATATTAAAACAAACTACAGTTTTAGGATTTTTTTAAAGTGTTATTGCAAAAATACTTTTAGGAAATGTTTACACATCTACCACTAGATGCTTTAATGATGACAAATGGTCTAAAAGCAATAAATATTGGTTATAACTCCTGTTATTATTAAGCCAACTGACTACCTACAATAAATCGATGTTTCAGTTACACTCTTTTTCTTTAATCTGCCTAAGGTCCGGATTCTATTACTGTAGTTAATTATTAATATATCCTCATCAAATCAAGAGCAAATGTATTGAAAACCAACTATTTACATAAATATCTTATTGGGGGGGAGGCAATTATCTTCTTGAAAGAACCAATCTATTATGATTGATTAAGCTACACATATATTTCATTAAAAGTATTTTGCACTCCTTACTCTATTGAGAAATAGAAAATATACCAGAAAAAAAAACCTCTAGCAAACATCAGATGGGGGAGGTCCTGTTTATAGAGAATGTTGATTTTGAGTGGACAACTCAGATAAGTCTGATAGAGATATCAGTGTGTCCTTGCAGACACTAGCAAAGTTGTCATGACCTAACAACTGCATGTGATTGATTTATTATGTGCCATCAAGACCTCTTTGACTCCTAGAGACCAAAAAAATAATTCTCTGTGACAATCCATCTCTTATATATTCTTTTAAATCTCCCAACAGTGCACTCATCACTTCCATAACTAAGTCTATGAACCTTGCCTCTTGTTCCTTCTACTTTTCCCAGCATGAGACTCTTTTCCAGACAGCTGGGTCTTCACATAATATATCCAAAGTAGGATGCTTCTATTTGCAAGTAGTCAACACTATGCAGAATGTTAGGAAATTAATTGAGGATGAGGGTTTGAGCTTTCGAGAAAGTCCATGAAGTAGTACATCATTAGAGTGATTTATGCCAGTTGTGGAGATAACATCACTACTGTATACCAATTAGGTACAATGATACCATCATGCTCTGACAAATTGGGGTTTCGCTGAACTTGGCAGACCGCAAAATGTTTTCGTTGACATTTGATGCTGGGGTTGAGGATCCCTGCCTCTTTTTTGGCGTGGAACAATTGTGGATCATTCCATAGGTCAGGAATTGTGTTTGTGCTGTAGCATTTAAAGAAATCAAACAAAAAGATGGCAAGGTCTAAGCCCAAAGTACGAAGGCTTTTCCACTCTGGTCCTGTCCTTCCAACGGACAAGAAAATCATTGCATTATGCTTTATACAAGGCTTGGTCT